AGTGTTTGGAAAATGTAGATTTGTTCCATCACAGGAACGGATTAGGACAAAAGGAAGATCATGTGAACTTTATGGACCTGATTTGGAACTACAAGTGCAGGAGAAAATTGCTGAAGTCTTGGCTCAGCAGTGTCCAGCTTTCAGCTGATTGAGAATCGGGAGATGAATATGCTGGATATGGCAACTCAGTGCTGTAAGAAACATGAACTAAGAGCTGGCTTTCTAATGCTCCATCTCAAATGATAAGTATTTGCTGCTCACATTGTAGAATTCAGACCTCTTAGTCATAGAGCAGAATTGCCCTGTGACCTTGGAAATACAGCACGCATGCAGGGGGCAACGACCTAAGCGTAAAAGAAGAGACAATGGACAGCTATAGGAGACAAAGTTAATATTTTAAGGCATAGAAATGTGTTGGTTTGAAAATCAATCAAGTGGACAGTGGAGGCTGGCATTACAAGTTGAGTGGATTTGGGAATATATTTGAATGTTAGATGATAAGTAGGGTAGGATGTGAAAGCTTTTGAAAATGAAGAGAGGGATCTCATTTTTAACATGATAAGAGCCAGTGAAGAGCTACATGGGAAAGAGTGATTCTGGATTAGAAAATGATGAAACGAAAATGGATGGATATAATCAGGGCATGACTGCATTGGAGAAGGATTTTGTAGTAACTGAGGTACAGTATGTGACAGCCTGGATGAGATTTCTATTTGATCGAGAGGAAAGCTGCTATATTAGATATTTTACCCATCCACTACCATCCTCCCTGATGAAGGTGTACATTCCATGGTATAATTCTGCCATGCCTAGAATCTGCTGATATAAGGTCTCTGCATCAGTGGGTTCTTACATCAAAGGTGCAAATTAAACTGTGCTCTGCTCAGAAGCCATTTTTGAACTTCTAAATGGCCACCGTGAGCAGGGTTCAAATGAGGAGGGGAGAATTCAGGCCACGTGTTCCAGTATGAGGCATAGATTCAACCTGTTCAGAGGATGGCTGTACTGGCTGATGTACTTTACTTGAAGAACTTGATAGTGTAGGGGGATCAGTTCCCCAGAAATACTGAATTCAATGCCAAAGTAAGTTGCAAAGGACACTTTGTCACTAGACCTAATGTCTCCAGCATTTTTAGTCAGGTGCAGGATTCTTGCCCAAGACTGTTGAATAGTGTTCGGAATGGCTGCAGTTGAACAGAATCTAGCACAAACCTCAGTATGGATTGGAAACATTAGGGGTACTTTCAAAAGACAGGGTTAAATTAATGGTGTGTTGAGCTTTTGAAGCATGAACATGCTGTGTTGTTTTTTCTAAATTTAATTAACTGGTTGTTTAAGTTCAATAATTCATAAAACCAATGACATATGCCAACTATACCTAAGTAAATGGATTACCATTGGTCTGATTTGTTTGTAAAGAGTAAATATTTATGAAAATATGATCTTAGTATTTGTTTCTATGCACTGACCACATATCTCATTTTGTATCTTTGGTCTACTTTCAGGAGATAGGAGGACAGGATAGGATGATGAGAGGCTGACTTGGACCAGAAAGCCCTATACTTAAAGATGTTGTCTAAGTCAAGGCAATGTGGAGATGAGACTGGAGTTCATTTACATCTGTTAATTGAATCTGGTCTCTTCGTCAGAGCAGAGGAAGCCTTAAATGGGCCTGTGATTTGGTTCTCAGGTTTTGAAAGGCATTTTGGTACCTGAACCTCACTCCTATGCTCTAATTGCCAGGTGGTTTGCTACAGAATTTAAGAATCTGCAAGAATTTTTTTGTCATTAATCCACAGCAAAAGAAGGCAGAACATCTAAAACTGACAAAGATAAGCTCTGATTCTTGCCGATGGTTCCCAGCTGCTGATTTGTGGAAAGAGTATAATGGTCATGACATAAAATCTCTTAGATAAAGATTCTTAAATTCTTATTACATATGTGGGCTAAGTGCCCCCCTCACCTATCCTCTTAAAAACTTCATATCTCATGTAAAATTTTGCAGGAAGTGTTTATATTCCTGCTCTGTCCTTTCCTGCAGTCAGCTGCTATCAGATAGGGTTGCTTGCTGCTGTGGCCATGTCATCTGTCAATCAAAAAGCCAGTGATTAATATCTTCCAGCTTATCTGACTTCCAATTTGGAAATTAAATGACCTTCAGATGGTAACTTAAGATTCAGAACTCCAGGCTTAATGTAAATCCCGAGTGGAATAATATGATGGCTCACATCCTTAAGATGAATCAATTAATATGTGATTATCTTACACCACAAATATTTCCTTAGCTCACTGGATCTGTTTTTACTTTACCCAAAATGCGCACTTCTTCTTTTTTAAAACCCTGGAAGCTACTATTAAATAAGCTAGAGAGAAGTATGGATAGACAGCAGAATGCACATTAGCACAGTCCCCTTTCTAACTCATCTCCCTGGCAAGTTTGCAGTTATGGTTAACAATGCTAAGCCACAAGAGATGATGAAGGCATCTCACCAGGTACATGGGGACAGGAGGAGCCCAGAGAAAAAGGTCAGATGGTTGAGTATGAGCTGGTGGTGTGACGTCACCACAAATTGGACAAGTGGCATGCTGACTATGGGAGGAAAAATTACTATTCCCCATGTATTTGGCACTGTTGGGGCCTCATGTTGAATAAAGTTTTAATGTGGGCTCCCTCCAGTTCAAGAGGGATGGGGAGAAACTGGAAAGAGCCAACACAGGGCTACTGAGATGCTCGAGGTCCTGGGGCACGCGACGCACAAAGAAACACTGGGGCAGCAGGGCTTGTTTGGCCGGGTGAAAAGGGGGTACCTAGGAGCAGCCCACTACTATGTAAAGGACGGCTGTGAAGAGGGCAGAGCCAAACTGCTCTCGGTACTGGGGTGTAACGAGGGGCAGTGGCTCAAACCGCAGTTTGGAGGTTCAGGTTGGACAGCAGGAAAAATTCCTCCAGAAGATGTAGGTGAGCACAGGTTATCGAGGCAGGTGGGGGAATCTCCAGGCTCGGATGATTTCAGGACACGGCCAGACAAAGCCACAGTTAACCCAACCTAATGCTGCTGACAGTGCCGCTTTAGGTGAGGTTGAACTAGAGACCTCCTGATGTTTCTTCCAGCCAATGCCTCTACAAATTTATGACTCACAACATAAATTCTGAGGGCCACTCTAACATCATGGGTTGGAGCAGGTACCATATTACATCTTAGTAAAAGAAGCAAGCTATAATTCTGGGAGTCGGCTTGAGATTCACTTAGGAGGTGGAGAAGTGGTCTTTAATCTTAGATCCTGGATCAGCTTACCTCTTTCACAGCCTTGGTAAGTGATTTTTCTTCAAAGACTAGTTCATAACGAGAACTTGCTCCTTTCCCTTGATGCTCAGTTCAACATTGTCTTGTACAACCATTTATGCTGTACATTTATGCCCATTACTCTGTTTTGGCTTCATTGTCCAACTGTTGTACACAAGCTTGCAACCCACTGTAGGACTAAAGTGTACAAACACCTGTAAGGACACCGGCCGTAACTTTCTTTTGTCCCTGACACAGTATATTCACTGATGGTGGCTTTCCCACACTGGCATATACCATGATTTTCCACATTCTCTTCCCATAGAAACAGGAACATATGATGCTGCACACTGTGAGAAGCTGCTCATTTTTCTACGAGACCACGATATGGAAAGAGCAACCATTTGAGATGCTGCATAGATGTATGTCCTTTGCAGGTGGGTAACAAGGGCTGGCTTTCAAATAGCATGATGATTAGTTTTTCTATCCAGTCAGTGATATCCCTCCTTTAACAGGAGAGAAGATGGAAATAAAATCACAAGTCTGGGTGGGATGGGAGTGTCACCTGGGAGCTCCTGGGGCTTCCAAGGGCAGAAGGGGCTTTTGGTTGAGGGAAGATGGGAGTGGATTGCAACTCCAGAGGTCGAGGTGGGATGGGGGGACAGCTGTGCTGAACAAGGGGACTGGGAGCATGCTGAGCAGCGTTGCAGGAGAACAGCCAACAGCCGGGACAGTCCGTTGTGGCAGCATGTGGATGGGAGCAGGTAATGGTGTTGGCGAGGGAAAAGGCGGTTAGTTGGTGGGCAGCAGGCTGCGTGATGGAGGAGGCCGCGGGAGGGAGCAAAGGCAGCTGGCAGCTCAGGGCAGCGGCTGCGCGCAGGGTGGAGGTGCCGACAGAGGAAGATGGCACCTGGGATGCTGGTTAACCGCCACGGGGCGCCTGGGGGCTTGACGCCAGAGGATGGGGACTGACTGCAGGTTCTGGATCCAGGAGAAGAACGCGGATGGCAATTAGGCGTCCGGCTGCGAGGTTAGTTGGGGTTACCAGAGGAAAGGGGGTGCGTGGCTGGCTGGCGGTCAGCGGCGAGGGAGAAGGGAACACGAGTGGAGCTGTGAAGCAATGGTCAGCAACGGGCCCAGCTCCGTGGTCTTGAGGGGGGAAGGTGGGCCAGGAGTTGGCGTGAGGAGGGGGGGGCGGTTCGGTGGCTTCTGCTGTCTGTCAGGACAGGGAAGGGGGGTGGCTGGTGGCCACCCCATGGTGACTGCACCCCGGGCGCAGGCAGCGGAGGGGGGCAGCTGGTGACCGTGAGGGCAACGGACCGCCATGGGGTGGGCGACTGGGGCTGAAGGAGCGGGGCGGGGAGGAGAGCCGGCGGCCGGCGGTAGCAGCGAGGGAGAAAGGAGCTGGTGGCGGTGGGTCGCCGTGCCGCCCGGGGTAGAAGCGGGGCGGGCGGCCCCGAGGAGACCCCGCCGCCGCCGCCATTTTCCCTCCGCCTCAGGGA